TGGTGGCAACATCGGCTACGTGCCGTCGGTCAAGAGCCGGTTCAGGATCTCCAGGGACAACGGGCAGAGCTCGGTGACGCTGACCATGAACAACCTCAAGGACGACGATTCCGGATCCTATTTCTGTGCCAAGGGTGTTTACAGTTGTTGTGCTGCTTTTGCTGCTGATGTTGGTGATGCTGTTCCTGGCCCTGTTCCTGTCCCAGAGGACCCAACCCTTCCGTCCCACCCCTCCCCCCACTCCTGACCCTTTGTCCAACCCTGCCCTGCTGTGGCCCCAAATCTCAGCTCCTGGCCCCAAATCAGGGCCGGTTTCACCCTGAGCTCAGCCTCGGCCCTCCCATCCCAACCATTGCCCCCAGACTTGTCCAGTTTTGCCCCAAATCTCCCCTGCTGGCACTGAGTCACAGCCACCTACCCAAATCTGCCCCTTGGCCTTACATTGGGAATTATGAGTAAAAATTTGAATTCTTGAGCCCTGATCTTAACTTTGGACCCAAATCGTGACATTTCGGTGACATTTGGGGAGCAAGGGCATTGGGTGTTGCCCAGAGGTGGCATTTGGGGCAGAGCCAGAGCAGGGCTGGGACAGAGGGTCGGGGATGGGGTTTGGGGGAAGGGTCTGGGGCACGGGGTGCAGACAGGGTCCAGTGACTGGATCAGTTTCAACAAGAGGAGCAGCAGCATTACAACAACCATCAGTACTGCGTTTGGCACAGAAATAGGATCCGGAATCCTCGTCCTTGAGGTTGTTCATGGTCAGCGTCACCGAGCTCTGCCCGTTGTCGCTCGTCAATGTGAACCGGCCCTTGACCGAGTTTGCGTAAAAGACGCTGCCACTTTTTCTGCTGATCCCCGCCAGCACTTCCAGCCCCTGCCCGGGTCTCTGGCGGATCCACATCATTGCAAATTTTTCGAAATCAAAACCAGAGGTGCGGCAGAGGAGGCGCAGGGACCCCCAGGGGGCTGGAGGTCCCCCCCGCACTCCAGCAGGGTCACGGCCGCCCGGAGCCCTGCGGGACAAAGGGGAGATGGGGATGAGGAACCTGATTGGTTGTGGACTCAAAGCGGGTTTGGCCAGTTGGAAAAGAGTTGGAACCCAGCTTCGAGAAGGATGAGAAGGTCCAGGGTTCAGAATTTGGGGCCAAGGGTCAGGATTTGGGTCAAGGGTTGAGCTTTGGCCTCATCCCCATCTCCCCTTTGTCCCGCAGGGCTCCGGGCGGCCGTGACCCTGCTGGAGTGCGGGGGGG